AGATGGCTCTTGTACTTCAATTTGAACAAATGTACCATACTGCGCCTCAGAAATCAGACCCCCTAGTACGCGGCAATACCATCTGAACGGAATACCACTTCGAGATGCAGAAACGCAGAAAGATCTCGGAGTATGGGTTGCAGACAACCTAAAGCCTTCTACACAATGTTGTAAGGCGACCAAGGCCGCAACTTCAATGCTATATGCCATCAAGCGGGCATTCGCAGGTTTCGATGAAAACTGCTTCTCCAAAGCCTTCGGCACGTATCTCGAATATGCATCTCGAATATGCAATTCAGGCCTGGAGACCATGGACGCATCGGGATTACAGTCTGCTCGAAAGGGTGCAGAGGCGATAAACAAAGTTAATAAGAGATCAAAGTGCACTGCCATACGAGATTCGCTTAACTAACAGAAATCTGCGGAACCTAAATTCGTTTATAGGTCAAGATTTGACCTAGCTGCAAATACGATAATCAGCTCTCCGGTCCCTCAACTGAACCTTTAGCCACTACTTCTACTTTTAACACTAATAAAAAGAAATACACAGACCAGCGTAAACCAAATGATAAATCCACAGCCCCCGCAGAAGGGCCTCCAGCAAGTACGTCTGACTCTAGTTCTCATGATAAAAAACGCGCAACTGCAAAAGTATTTAGGACTGCTGGTCAGAAACAAACGAGGGAGGCACAACAAAATAACAACGTTCAACCAGAACAGAACGATGATGCAGATCCCCGACCGAGTCATGTGACACCCTTAGATGGCAGTATAAGTTTTACTACATCCCCCAAGACCGATCAATCAGTACTAGAAAACGACTGCCAAACAAGACACATAAACCAAAAGGCCTTACTAAGCACACCAACACAACCAAAACGCCCTAGGTATGTTGACATGACAAATAGAAGCCCACCAAACTCTAACCAAAAACAAGCAAGCTTCTATAACGGCACCTGGACTCCCCAAAATCCACCTGCATGGCAGAGGAATAAGCCAAACCACTCTAGCATTCCAAACTCCTTACCACCTAATTACAACCCTACAAATTACCTTGGCTTTTACACCTCCCCAACTGAAACTTCATTTAGGTACAATTACCACCTAGTTAACGCACCTCCCCATATGTACCTTCAGTCCATACACACTAGCCCATGCACTCACACTACGCCATACGCATCACCATATCCTCCAAGAATCACACACCTACCTCCATTTAGTCCATCACTCACTCAAAGTACCCCCAGAAATCCTTTTTTTCACCACAGCCCACCTGTTCCATATCCAACATCCTAAAGATAGCTCTTATAAATTCCAGATCGATTGTCAACAAGATATCCCAACTTAGAACTTTTGTTGAAATATATAACCCCGACGTAATTTGCATTACAGAAACATGGGCCAGTGAACTTATATCGAATGCTTCGCTATATATCCCAAATTATAATTTTTATCGACAGGACTGTGTTAATAAACGAGGCGGAGGTTGTCTTATCTACATCAAAACTAGCATTGAGCAAAGTGGTATTGATGCCCCAACCGAAACCTTTGCTGGAGAAGCGTGTTTTGCCACAATAAAATCTCATGCCCAGGAAAAAATACTAGTCGGATGCCTCTACTCCCCTCCAGAATGTAGTAGTGATGACACAAGCCTCAACCTCTTAATAAGCAATATAGCTAACATAAAAACTGAATATAAGATAATTGCAGGCGACCTAAACCGCCCAGAAATAGACTGGGTCGAATTATCAGCACCTACCAGGCACGAAGAATTCTTGTCTTCAATTATCTTTAATAACTGGACACAAATAGTTGACAAACCCACCCGAGAAAACAATATACTAGACGTTATTTTCACCAACGATATCTGGCCCCTCTATATGCACTACGACTGCGCAACCTTTGAAAGTGACCACAAAGCAATAATATCAACACTCCCCTTAAACGCAAAACTAGCACCCCATTTTAGTAACACCCGCCTAAACCCAAAAAAACTTGACGAGGACTTCATGAACAACTATATTAGATCATTGGACTGGAGCCCATATCTTCTTACAACATCCCCTATGGGAGCAGTTAGCCTATTATACTCTGTCCAATTTGTAATTCGAGATACCTTAATAGACGAAAGACTCCCTATAAGAAATCCCCAATCCCGAGCTTCCTCCTAACTAAACTAAAAAAGCTACAAAAACAGCTACGCGACCCCTCTGTAAGTTATTTTTCCACACTTCGACGAATTAGGGAAATTCACGACCGAGTCACAAAAATAGAAACACAACAGACCATAGCAGCAGAACATCGGGCACTAGAATCTCCCGAACGAACAGCTCAGATGTTTCAGAAACTAATGAGTAATCATCGACAGTCAGGACCACGAACTATTATTAATGAATTAGGGCAAGTTATAAGCAATGATAAACAAATAGTAAACTTATTCAACAGATACTTCTCAGCTAACTACACAGTCGAAGAGGGAACCATCCCCCAACCGACCGAGATGACTGAACGCATCCTTAGAGATCCATTTTAGTGAAGAAACTGTTAAAGTGGCCATCAAACAACTATCAAACACCAAATCCTATGGGACAGACAAAATCCCACCATGTATTCTGAAGCATATGACATATGCTCCAATACTCCTATCTAAGTTACTCACCCTACTCCAGTCAAATGCAATTTTTCCGGACATGTGGAAATACTCGACCATTGCGCCCATATTTAAAAGCGGCAACCGATCTCATACCCAAAACTATCGTGGTGTCCATCGAACACCGGTTATAGCAAAAATCCTCGAGAAAATAGTATATAACCAATTGCTAGACCATCTCATAAACGCCAACCTCATTCCCTCCTCTCAACATGCATTTTTACCCAAAAAGTCATGTCAGTCCTGCCACCTTACTTTTTTGGAATTCGTTTCCAGCAATAGAGATGATGGAAACACAGTAGCTTCAATATACTTCGATCTAAGAAAGGCCTTTGACAAAGTCCCCCATAAAAGACTACTGATAAAGCTAAAAAGTCATGGAATTAGGCCACCCCTTCTCGATTTTCTTAAATCTTATCTTCAAAACCTATACCAGGTGGTGCAAATTCGAAACGTAGTCTCAGAACCATCCCCTATTACCATTGGAGTACTTTAAGGCACTATCCTAGGCCCCTTCTATTTCTTATATATATTCACGACTTATCGTCCATATCTGTCTCAGCTTAGACGTTTTTATATGCGGACGACCTTAAAATTGCATATGCATATAACGGGAATACAGTAAGCAATATTCATAGAACAATTGAAACTGATCTCAGAAAACTCAGCGAATGGAGTAGTCAGTGGCAGATGCCCTTTTCACCCGAAAAATGCCATCTCCTGATATTTGGCCCACAAAAACTTCCCCCCATAATATTCGAGGATAAAGAAATAACAGAGGCCCAATCGGTAAAAGATTTAGGTCTCAGCTATACAAATACCCTTGATTTATCTCCCCACGTCCAACAAATATCACCGAAAGCCACTCGCCTGAGTGGATTCATATGTAAAATTTTTACCGTAAATGGACTAAGAATACAACTTTTCAAAATGTATGTTTTACCTCTCCTAGATTACTGTTCAATTTTCTTCGGCATAATGCCCTCGGACGGCCGAAAGAAACTAGAAGGCATTCAGAGACGTTTTACTAGATCTTTGTCTAGAAGTAATGGCATCCAGGGTTCATACTTAGAACTATATCTTAAATACGGTCTTCGACCCCTCTGGATCAGAAGACTTCAAAATGGTCTAAACTTCCTATTCAAGGTCACCCACGACCAAGATATTCTCAAAATGAATTTGCTAACAAACAAAAACGCCCCCAGAAACACCAGAACTAACGACGATATTATAAGGATTCCCAAATTCACAAAGTCCCAACGGTCAAATTTCTACTCCATAAGATATGCGACTATCTGCAATTCTCTTCCAGGTTATATCCGGAAAAGTCGAACTCTAATCGAGTTTAAAATAAAAACTAAGAAATTCCTTTCAAATGACAATACACATTTATTTTTGAATAAGATAGGACATTTTTCAAGTCAATTCTTTGATATAGAATTTGGTCCAAAAGGGCTCTGATGACGCCAGCCGATTGAAAAATACCGAAACATAGCACTAAAAATAATCAAATTTATAAAAGATAGCATCATTGATAAACGTAGAACAGATAATTATATTCTTTTTTTCCTCCCTTTCTCGTTTTCATCAGCTTTGTCACCTGACACTTAATATCCCTTATAAACCTAATAAAAATATACCCTTCGATAAAACCCTGCATATTAGTCGTGCGTATGTCTTTATTAAGGCCATATTAAACATATATAGAACTATATTAGGTCATAGTAAACAGTCGACCACTACTCCTATAATTTAACATTAACAAGAACAATATGATACATGATTCAATAGTATTTTGACAGTTTTTGATTGTGACTTACCATTGAATGCTTCTTACACCTGATATATATTCATCTTTTCCAGCTCTTAGTCCAGACAACGATGTTAAGCCTCCTGAAAAACACGTAGGAACTGCGCGACCGCCCCCTTACAGCTGGCCAGATAGACTCACAACCAGCTGTAGCGACCGAGCGGGTGGTAGACGTCGGGTCACGTGCGTAGAAGGAAGGAGAAGAGGGGAGCTTGAATTCAGATGATTCGGCCGCTTGGAAAAGTCGGTCTAAAATACCTTGTACTTCAGAGTGGGTGGTTGGGGGGGGGGGTACAGGCGTACGAGACATGATATAGACAACGGAAATGACAAAACGATAATAGTTTATCGTAATATGAAAGATGGGAATATAATAATGAGATAACGTAAAAACGGAAGAATATGACAGAACGACTTATCAGTGTGTTGGCAGTTAGTTGTCGGCGCGAGGTTTTCGGAGCGTAGACTCTGCAAAGGAAAACGAAAGTGGTGTAGTCCATTCAAACCTCAAGGTCGGATCCCTGGTCATATCTCCGACTGTTACATAGCCCTCCCCCTAAGGTGGAGCACTGTCCTCAGTGCTGAGATCGACGAGGGGTGGGGGAACAGTGACCTCGATGGCGACTGGGGGAACCTGGTCAGCAGGGAGTATGGGTAGAGAGTCGGGGAACAGGTTGGTAGGCGGCCTCGGTAGGGTTTAAGCTTATCGAAGTGTGCGGTAAAGGGGCGGGCGTTAGGGTAGATGGCGTCACGGATAAGTAGGGTGGTGGGCGAGGGGGTGTCTAAGACGACGAAGGGTCCTTGCCAGGGGTAATGGAACTTGGCGGACGTTCCGCGGGGGTGTGCAGGGTTATAATACATGACGAGGTCGCCGATCTCATGCGTAGCGCCGGATGAATGCCGGTCGTGCTGCTCCTTTTGATGGAGGGATGATTTGCCTAGAATCGTCCGGGCCGCATTATGTGCGCTACGTATAATCTCGCGTAGGCGTGCGGCGTAATCGTGTGGGGTTGTTGCGTCGGGTCTGGGTAAGGGGTAGAGGAGGTCGATCGGCAGGCGTATATCTCTTCCGGTCCATAGGTAGTGGGGAGTGAAGCCGGTGGAGGAATGGACGGAGCCGCGGTAGGCTAAGAGACAGAAGGGCAGGTGTACGTCCCAGTCGTGCTCATGGCTATCCTTAGAAAAAGCGAGCAGGAGGTTGTGCAGCGTTCGGTTCGTGCGCTCCACAAGGCCGTTTCCTTCCGGGTGGTAAGGTGTGGTTCGCGTTTTGTGTATCCGGAGGGTATCGCAGACATCCTTGAATAACTGGGAATCAAAATTGCTGCCGCAGTCTGAATGAAACGCTAACGGGGCACCCCAGCGTCTTATCCAAGTGCTCGTAATGGCGTTTGCGACAGAGGTGGCATCCTGTCGGAGGAGGGGAGTGGCCTCGACCCATTTGGTGAAATAATCCACCATGACAAGGATGTATTCATAGCCTCGGACAGAGATGGGGAGCGGCCCGATGATGTCAAGCCCTTCGCGTTCACCAGGGAACCCGGTGGTCATCGGTTGCATCGGGGCTCGGCGGGTGGGGTGGGGCGTTTTGAAGGAGGCACACGTGGTGCATGATTGACAGAAGTGGGCGACGGAAGTACGCAACTGCGGCCACCAAAAGCGTGTGCGGGCGGCTAGCTCTGTCCGGCGTTGGCCGCAATGGCCTAACTCTGAGTGTAGGTCGGCTAGTACGGTGTCAACCAAACAGCCTGGAACCACTGGACGTAGATGGTGGGATGAGGGATCGCGGAAGAATAAGATATCGTGTAGGACGACTAGATGGGGCCATTGGTTCAACAGCGAACGTGCGTTCTGGCTCGTTCCGCGCATCGCTTGTTCACTGGGTTTAGACAGCCCTTGGGTCAAATGGTAGTAAATGACTGCTGTATCAGGGTCGGAGCTCTGGGCTGACGACCAGGCGTAACGGGTTGGTTCGGCAAAAATTACAGCGTTAACGGCCGCGTCGTGAGGTTCGCTTGCCAGGTTGGCTGTGTTAGGAAGGCGTGAGAGTGCGTCCGCATTACCATGTTTGTGTCCCGGGCGGAACTGGCACTCAACGTCGAAATCCTGTAAAAACTCCTGCCAACGGGCTAGCTGGTCCTTCGGGTCCTTGATGGAGCGTAGCCATTGTAAGGCGCGATGGTATGTACGTAGGATAAACCGTCGACCGACAAGGAGGTGTTTGAACTGGCGAATGAACGTAATGATCGCCAACAGTTCTCGCCTGAAGGTACAGTAGTTACGCTGTGTCTTGGTCAGCGTGTTGCTGGCGAAACAAATAGGGTGTTCTACGCCGTCCTTACCGACTTGGGATAAGACAGCCCCAATGGCGAACCCACTTGCATCCGTATCTAGGATGAACGGTGGAGCGTCGTCGTCGACGTTTGGGAGGGTTAGGAGTGGTGCCGAGCATAATGCCGCACGTAGGGTGTTGAAGGCGGTGTCGCAATCGGCGGACCACGTATAAGGCCGACCTTTCTCGGTTAGTTTGTGCAGGGGGGCGGCGATCTGGGCAAAATCCCGGATGAAACGTCGGTAGTACGACGCGAGGCCCAGGAAACTCCGCAGCTCCGTTTGGTTGGTCGAGGTCGGCCACGTACGTATGTGTTTAATCCGGTCTGGCAGTGGGGAGATACGGCCGGGGGAAATAAGGTGACCGAGGAACTGAACTTCGGAGCGGAGGAAAAGACATTTAGTTGGGTTGAGGGTAAGGCCAGCTTCCTGGAGCGCCTCCAGAACCTCCCGTAAGTTTGAATTGTGCTCTTCTGTGGAACGCCCAAATACAATGATGTCGTCAAGATAGACGAGGCATTTATAGGGGATGAGGTGGCGGAGTACACGGTACATTAACCGTTGGAAGGTGGCTGCTGCGTTGCATAGGCCGAACGGGAGCGTTTGGAACTCAAATAAACCCTGGGGGACAGTGAAGGCCGTCTTGTGGCGGTCGTTGGGGTGGATTTCCACCTGTCAGTACCCCGACTTGAGATCAAGGGTTGAGAACCAGGCAGCCTGGCCTAGCGCATCTAGTGTATCGTCTAGCCGCGGCAACGGAAAGGAATCTCTTACTGTTACTGCATTTAAGCGGCGGTAGTCAACACACAGGCGTAGGGAACCATCCTTCTTGGGAACTAGTGCAATGGGCGAAGCCCAAGGGGAGGAGGATGGTTGGATAATCTTGGCCCGTAACAGCTCGTCTAGAAGCTTGTCGACCTCGTCACGGTAACGCACCGGTATACGTCGAGGGGGTTGCCAGAGGGGTTTGGCGTCGCCCGTGTCGATGGTGTGTTGTACCAGTCGTGTACGGCCGAGGATGTCTGTGCACCAGGAGAACAGGTCGGGAAACGAAGCGAGTAGGTCGCTTAGTTGCTTATGGGCGACGGGGCCGACTGTTGAAAGGGTAGGTAGGACATCGCTCAAACGGGTAGGCTCTAGGGCTGCAGCTGAGATTACGGCGTTATATGCGAGGTCGAGATCGTCTGACGGGATTGGTGTTATAGTCGGGGAGGTGGGGTAGCCTTTTACTAGGCGTCTATGTCGGGTATAAATAGTGCAGTCGTTATCGGTAAGGAAATCAAGTCCTGGAACGATGGGCCAGGGGCTAACAGGAGTCACTAAGAAATGATACGTCAGGGTAGAATCGTTGATGACGAATTGGAGGGTGATGCTACCGGCAACAGGAATACGAGTCCCGTTAGCGGCTCGTAAATTGCGGATTTTCGGTGACGGTTCTATGAGTCTAAGGTACTCTTGAAATAAACTATGAACATTGATAAGGGAGGCATTAGCACCAGTGTCAACTAGGGCTGTTAACGTATGGTCATTGAGTAAAACATTGACTGTAAACGTGTGGGTGCAAGGGGTATCAGAAAAGGAAATAAAGTCATAGGGAGGCGACTTACGGGGGGGATTATGGCCGCAGTGGCGGGCATCGGGGCCGAACGCTGCGCAATATTCACAGCCGGGGTTATGATTTGGGAACCGTACGGGGAGATGCGTCTTCCGGGTGGGTGGACGAGCCTCTGGGCGAGGGGTAACGGTATGAGGCACTGGGTTGGGTTTACGTTCTTGATGGTACGCCGTGTACAGGCGGCACTGTTGTATCGCAGCAGTTAAGCTGGGAGGGGGATGAAGAAGAAGGATATCTGTAGCGTTCGAATCGCTGAGGTCGGTAATAAAACGGTGTAAGATAAGGGTGTCGCGGTCTTGTGGGGGGAGGTTGGGGAACGCCGATAGGGCGAGGTGGGACAGTTGGTTGGCAAAGTCATCGACCGACTGGTCATGCGCCTGTCTTAGGGTGGCCAATCGTTCAGCAGCTATTCCTGTGGAGGACGGTGTGTGGAAAAGCTGTAAAACAGTCCGACGTGCAACGTCGAACGGTGTTGTGTGGTCAATTCCAGCGTCGAAAGCACGTCTACGGGCGGGGGTGGAAAGGAAACGTAACAGATAACATGTGCGTTGATTAACAGGAACCGAGGCTAAAAAGAGATCCAGTTCACGGAGCCAATCGTGTATGTTGCTCTCTGGGACGAACGGCTCTGGGGCTAGTAAGGGGCTGGGACCTAGATTGTATGTGTAGTCGACCGTAGGGTTAGGGAGTGGTACGTGGGTAACTGGGACATCAGAGGGAGGGGCGGGTGGGGTACCCGCTGCCACCATTGTAGCGACCGAGCGGGTGGTAGACGTCGGGTCACGTGCGTAGAAGGAAGGAGAAGAGGGGAGCTTGAATTCAGATGATTCGGCCGCTTGGAAAAGTCGGTCTAAAATACCTTGTACTTCAGAGTGGGTGGTTGGGGGGGGGGGTACAGGCGTACGAGACATGATATAGACAACGGAAATGACAAAACGATAATAGTTTATTGTAATATGCAAGATGGGAATATAATAATGAGATAACGTAAAAACGGAAGAATATGACAGAACGACTTATCAGTGTGTTGACAGTTAGTTGTCGACGCGAGGTTTTCGGAGCGTAGACTCTGCAAAGGAAAACGAAAGTGGTGTAGTCCATTCAAACCTCAAGGTCGGATCCCTGGTCAGATCTCCGACTGTTACACAGCAACTAGAACACACCGAAATTTACTGAACAGGAAAATAATTTCAAGATCAGGCCGATATCAAAGTTCTTCAATTGCCATGAAGGACATATTATTCATGCCCCCGAAAACTACGAAACTGCAAACTTCAATTTTATACTGTACATATCGTTATTTTTTAAAACTTTTGTTATTATTTTCCCTTAGAACTGAGGTTTTTTATCTTAAAACAAACTCTCAATTCGCGCTCTTTTGGCTAACCAGACACCCGAAGCAAATGAAGACAAAGTGCAGTTGAAATTGACGAGTTTGTTTTAGGTTTTTTTCCTGAGTTCAAAGGGGACTGACAGTGCCCAAGGGGCGCTACAATAAACCTATTCTATTCTATTCTATTCTAACCTTAATCTCTATCCTCTGATTTATAGGCAGTTGTGCGGAGACTTAATACAAACTTTCCGTATCGTGCGTGGCTTGGACTGCGCCTTTCGGTGCGATGACTTCTTCCTACTTGCCACAACAACTAACCTCCGGGGACATCCCTTCAAGCTACGTGTGCCCCAGGGTAGATTGAATGTGAGATAATATTTCTTCTCCAACCGTGTCGTGGAACCGTGGAATAACCTGTTCGAGACGGTTGCCATGTCTCAA